TCCTCCTCCTCCTCTTCATCTCACTCCTTTTTATCTCTCTCCTCCTCCTCCTCCTCCTCCTCCTCTTCATCTCCTGCATGTTTAATGTCTGACTCTCTCCGTGTTTCTGCTCCATCACTGACTAACTGCATGTTCTGGTTCGTCCTCGGCCTGTTTCGTTTCCTTCGACCTCTCCTCACCTCCTTCCTTCCTTTCTCGTTTCTCCTCGGCCACCCCTCCCCCTCCCGTCCCACACTGTGGTGCATCATGGGACCCGTAGGCTTCTACGGTCTGGACGAGTCGGACCTGGACAAGGTGTTCCGGCTGCCGACCACCACCTTCATCGGAGGCTCGGAGAGCGCTCTGCCTCTGAAGGAGATCATCCGCCGCCTGGAGGTAAGACTCCGTTACCATGGAGACGCAGATCAGCAGGAAGTAAACACACAGCCGAGATAAATACGAGAGAACATACTCACTAGTACGGCATTTTCACTCTCTGAAGCTGCCGAGTTAAAAGAGAAAAACAGTCTGTTGGCTGCTCCCAGACTCTCTTCAAAGCTGCTGCTCCTGCTGCTGACTTGAAGCTGCCCTGTTTGTCCTGCAGATGGCGTACTGTCAGCACATCGGGGTGGAGTTCATGTTCATCAATGACCTGGAGCAGTGTCAGTGGATCAGACAGAAGTTTGAGACTCCAGGCGTGATGCAGTTCACTCTGGAGGAGAAGAGGACGCTGCTGGCTCGCATGGTCCGGTCCACCAGGTAAACAGAACCGCTGCGTCCCGGCGGCGCTCAGACAGAACAGAACCGTAACCGTTTGCTCGTGTTCAGGTTCGAGGAGTTCCTGCAGAAGAAGTGGTCTGCTGAGAAACGCTTCGGTCTGGAGGGATGCGAGTCTCTGATCCCCGCTCTGAAGACCATCATCGATAAGTCCTCGGAGAACGGCGTGGAGAACGTCATCATGGGCATGCCTCACAGGTAGCACGCACCTTTAGCTTGGCTTCAGCATCTGCTCAGAACACAGCAGAGCTTTCCCAGCCTGCCCCTGGAGCTGGGAGGGAGCTTTACACACACTTCAAGGCAGGAAAAGTTTTCTGAACCAAAGAATCAGACTGTTGACCCGAACCAGCAGAACCTTATTCTGCCTCGATTCACTAAAAGTTCTGCCTTAGAGAAGAACGTCGTGTTCAGAGCTCCTGGTGTCATCGTTGTGAGTGTGACACGATGCAGCCACAGCTTTAGGATGTGAACGCACAAAATTATCAATAACGTGGATGTTAATGCTCTAACGTATCAATAATCTGGATGTTAATGTTCTAGCGCATCAATAATCTGGAGAACAACATTCTGAGCACCACTAATCTAGATGTGGATGTTGTGTACACTGATGAAGGCTGAACGTCTGTCCTGTCTGCAGTGAAGCCACACAGGCGTCCTCTGGTCCTTGTGGTCCAGAAGCAGCTGGTTGAAACACAAACTGCTTCTTGTTCTTTCAGGGGTCGCCTGAACGTCCTGGCCAACGTGATCCGTAAGGAGCTGGAGCAGATCTTCTGTCAGTTCGACTCCAAGCTGGAAGCAGCTGATGAGGTGTGTTCACTGCACGTCCACCTGCCGTGGAGCTACAACCTGAACCCAGAATCTGTCCGCACCGGTTCTGATCCGCTGTGCTTCCTCCTCAGGGTTCCGGAGACGTGAAGTACCACCTGGGGATGTACCACCGTCGGATCAACAGGGTGACGGACCGGAACATCACCCTGTCCCTGGTGGCCAACCCGTCTCACCTGGAGGCCGTGGACCCGGTGGTGCAGGGCAAAACCAAGGCCGATCAGTTCTACTGCGGAGACAACGACGGAAACAGGGTGAGAGGAGTACCGCAGTACCACGAGTACTGCAGCACCACGAGTACCACCAGTACTGCAGCACCACGAGTACCACCAGTACTGCATTAAGTACAACCAGGCTCGTCTGCTGTACACTTAAAGCAAACAGACGCTGACTCCGGAGCTCAGCTCACATCATATTTACAAGTTCAGAAACATCAGCAGCCACCAACGGAATAAACATGAATTCTGAATCTTTTCCATGTTTGTAGACATTCCTTGTTTTCTACGTACACAAGAACCTGTGCAGCGTCGGTGTTCTCTGCTCAGTCAGTCATGGAGAACCAAATAGTAATAAAATAGAACACAGAAACAGAAAACGACTTTAGAGACGGTGAGGTTTTGTCTCTGATTCTGACTCTAATGGGCCACATGTTTTATTGATCAGTGAGAGTGTTTCTGAGCTGCAGTGGAGGAGACCAGACCTCGGTGAGCTGGTGTCAGTGTGACGTGTCCACCTGTGTGTCCAGGTGATGTCCATCCTGATGCACGGAGACGCAGCGTTCGCCGGTCAGGGCATCGTCTACGAGACCTTCCACCTGTCTGACCTGCCGTCCCACACCACGCACGGCACCGTGCACGTCGTGGTCAACAACCAGGTAACTCTATGGACAGATCCGTCTGCTCACTAACCCGACCAGCCAGAGCCTCCTGGTCCCACCACCGCAACAGGGCCGAGGTCGGTAGCTGGACTCTTCTCCTCTGTGGTTCCCCGGTGGTGGAACCAGTTACCAAACTGCTGACTCCCTCTCAGTCTTTATGATCAGACTAAAGAGCAGCTCTTCACTCAACACCTCTGCACCTGACCGACTGGAAGACCTCCCACACAGCCTGCTGCCGGCATCACACTGAACCTGTCCTATGTCCCTTATCTAGGTTGTTTTCCCCTGTCTAGATCCTTGCTGGTGTTGTATCTGCTCTTAGATGTTTGTCGCTGTGGATAAGAGCGTCTGCTGAATGACACTGTAGACCTGTAGGTAACCCTGTTGAACCCGGAGCGGTGAATCAGCTGTTCTGTCCGTCCACAGATCGGCTTCACCACCGACCCCCGCATGGCTCGCTCATCCCCGTACCCGACGGACGTGGCCCGGGTGGTCAACGCTCCCATCTTCCACGTCAACGCCGACGACCCCGAAGCCGTCATCTACGTGTGCAAGGTGGCCGCCGAGTGGAGGGCCACGTTCCACAAGGACGTGGTGGTCGACCTGGTCAGTGTCCGAGTCAGCACACGGTCACAGGACGACACGCAGACATCCCCACAGAAACATGACACTAACCTAATCTGATAGAGTTCCCCCTCAGAACATCTGGTTCTACTGACCAGAGTTCTACCTTCAGACTGTGAATGTTCCAGAGTCCATAGAGGAGGGTCCAGACTGATCACTTTAATATGACTTTATCAAAATATCTTTTCCTTGAACATGCTAAAACATGTTTTTCACTCTGAAGCTGGTTCTTCTGCAGCCGCCCGTTGGTTTGAAAGCAGCCAGTGCTGATCTGTACCTGTGTGCAGGTGTGTTACCGCCGGATGGGTCACAACGAGATGGACGAGCCCATGTTCACTCAGCCGCTGATGTACAAGCAGATCAAGAAGCAGAAGCCCGTCCTGCTGAAGTACGCCGAGAAGCTGATCGCAGAGGGAGCAGTGAGCCGCCAGGAGTACGAGGTAGAGCTTCTGTTTGATGGAACCGAACGGTGCTGCTGGCTTCACCTGTGAGCAGAGGCTGGGAGGTGTTTCCTAAGATGGCAGACAGTTTGGCCAGTGCCCTCCTCTCTCCCACCACCTCAGTGGAGTCCAGGGGGCAGCTACAGACTGAGCTGGCTCTTTTTGTCAGATTCAAATGAACCTACAAATGACATGAACTCCTGCCCAGAATACCACTTTCTGTCCAAGTACTTGTACCTTGAAAGGTTTATTCCACCCAAATAGTACCTCCTAGCTATTTGTTAGAAAGTTCGTTTGACCCAAATCTAGTTCTTGGTCACCGTATTGGTCCCAGAAGAGCTAATGAGAAACAAGGTCCTTGGAGTGGAGTTGTCTACCTGCTGCTTTATGATGCAGACATCGGCCCAGTTAGACCACCAGGTATCCTCTGGTCTCTACAGGACTAAACAGTGAGAGGCTCCACCTGGTGGAACAACCAGGTACTGCAGCTGGTCTACAAGGTCTTCTGCCTTAGCGGTTAATATGCTTTAAATCGGTTAAGCTGTTCATGGACGTGAACGTTCCTGCTGCTGATCGTACAAATGAAACAGATCATCTGCTGAACGTCCTCAGACCAACGGTTTGTGTTTCTGTCTGCAGGAGGAGATCGCCAAGTACGATAAGATCTGCGAGGAGGCGTATGCTCGCTCTAAGGACGAGAAGATCCTCCACATCAAGCACTGGCTGGACTCTCCATGGCCCGGTGAGAGAAACCCACTTCATCAGAGCCCCGCTGGTCGTTGAGGGTTTCGTTTGAAGATTCAGAAACATGTTTTATATCTGCAGCCTTTTCATTCCTTCTTCCTTTTGCGTGTACCTCTTCTCCTCCATCCCATGTTTGCTCCTCTGTCATACTGTGATCATAGAACAGGATGAGGTTGTCCAATCAGACGATCTGCTTCCAGGTTTTAAATATCAGAAGACCTCTGATCTGAGACTGAATATCAACCGTTTAATCAGTTTTCTCTTTATACTGACATCTGAAACATTCAGACCAACACAGTTATGACACCAGAAGAACCTTCAGCTCCAGAAGCTTTAAGTGGCTACAGGAGGCGGTGTTCAGTCCAGTTCAGAGGTTCAGAGTGTCTGAACCTGGTCTCATTGGTCCCTGGTCTGCTGGTGACACCTTAAACTGTCGTCTTCAGGTTTCTTCACTCTGGACGGACAGCCCAAGTCCATGAGCTGCCCGTCCACGGGCCTGACTGAAGAGAACCTGAACCACATCGGAGAGGTCGCCTCCTCCGTCCCGGTGGAGGACTTCACCATCCACGGAGGTCTGACCAGAACTCCTCTAAACCCATTTAGACCCAGATTACTGTGTCGCTTGTGCTGCATTCACTGACCGTCTGTTGTTGAATCAGGTCTGAGTCGGATCCTTAAGGGCCGAGCTGAGATGGTACGGAACCGGACCGTGGACTGGGCTCTGGGAGAGTACATGGCCTTTGGGTCGCTGCTGAAGGAGGGAATCCACATCAGACTGTCGGGACAAGACGTGGAGAGAGGAACCTTCAGGTAGAACCAGAACCGCGTACCTGCAGGCTGAGCTGGGTTGCTTTAATGGATGATGAACAGGGTTCTGAAGGGAACCACAGACTAAAGCTGCTGTTTGTCTCCTCCCAGCCACCGGCACCACGTTCTCCACGACCAGAACGTGGACAAGAGGATCTGCATCCCCATGAACCACCTCGCCCCGGACCAGGCGCCGTACACCGTCTGCAACAGCTCGCTGTCCGAGTATGGCGTCCTCGGTCAGTCACAGTGGCGCCTTTAACTGGGTCAAACCGGTCTGACCTGACCTCCTCAGAACATCTGGTTCTGTATCTGTCTGATCTAATGAGAGCCTTCAGACTGTGAATGTTCCAGAGCTCCAGGTCCTTCCATTAGATAAAGTTACTGCAGATACAGAACCAGATGTTCTGAGGAGGTTCTGGGGGATCTTTGTCCAGATGTGACACATGTTCTGTGATGCAGCTGTTTCTCTGATGCTCATCTTCTGTCTGTCCTCAGGCTTCGAGTTGGGTTTTGCGATGGCGAGTCCAAACGCTCTGATCCTGTGGGAGGCTCAGTTTGGAGACTTCCACAACACGGCCCAGTGCATCATCGACCAGTTCATCTGTCCGGGTCAGGCCAAGTGGGTCCGACAGAACGGCATCGTGCTGCTGCTGCCACACGGCATGGAGGGGATGGTGAGGAACCGAGACTGGTAGAACAATGATCCAGCAGGATGATTGTCCAAAATGATTCTCAGATGGTCCACAATAGGTTTCGACTCATCCACATGGATAAAAATGTGCCCCGGAGTACCGAAACGTGTCCGACATTTCTGAGAGTTTGTGAGAAATTACTGAAAACACAGAGAAAGAGTGAATTAGTTTTTTCCCAAAATGTCTCCAAAATATTTCTGATTTTGTCCAAAGTGAGACTAAAGCCGACGTTTTACAGTCGAAGTAGAGCAACAGCCTGAGAACGATGTGAGGGCAAATACTCTGTACCCTGGAAGTAATCTGATTACTGTCAGTGAGCGTTCAGGAACCAGGTGTTAAACGGATCTCTGGTTGTGTTCAGGGTCCAGAACATTCTTCGGCCCGTCCAGAGAGGTTCCTTCAGATGTGCAACGACGACCCGGACGTGATGCCGGTGAGTGTTGATGAAGCCGGTTCTCCTGCGGCGGGTGTTCTGCCGTCCAGGGTTCTAAAGCTGCTTCTCACCTGCAGAACATCACGGAGGACTTTGCGGTCCGTCAGCTGTACGACTGTAACTGGATCGTGGTGAACTGCTCCTCTCCTGGAAACTACTTCCATGTTCTCAGACGACAGATCCTGCTGCCCTTCAGGAAGCCGGTAGCGCAGCACAACACGCCACAGACACGC